CTTAATTCATTTTTAGTTTTAACAATGTGTTAATTAAGACATTGATCTTGGTTACTTAATGGCATGTGGTTAATTGCTTAATTTATTAATTTTGCACTGCAACCATGTTTGTACTAAACAAGAGTGATTTATAACATGAATATTTCTCTACAATGTACATTAATTATTATATACTCTGATTAAAGTTGTATCAATACGCAAGACCTTTCAAATTTATCTGCTGACCTCGATCACCGGAATGAAATGATCTCGGGGTTTCCGGCGCGCGTCCCCTTCATAATATACATCCCGAATGGTGAATATTGCCGAATTTTCACTTGTGGGTACAATGTAAATGAATACAAAAAAGAAATGAACATATTTCTTACACTTTAACCACGTCGATTGACACGACTTGGATACACCAGGCCAAATAGAACAACGGCCGAGCAGGAATAGCGCGGATACCTTTCAATTCGCATTCCTGAACCATATATTACAACTTAGTGGAACGTCAAAAACGGTCGCAAGTATGTGGCAGAAGTCCAATACAATAATGGTCTCATGGATCGGAACAATTTATTAGTTAAAAAAAATTTAATTCACGTCCGTGGCATATATATTTGGCCGCTTTTACTTGAAATTTATAACGTTTATTTGTGTGAACTTGTATAGGTGCGAGTTTTACAGGCTAGTTTATGTCACGAGTTGAGATTATAGGTAGGTATATGGATTATAGATAGACCCATAGATCACATAATACCATGTACATAATAGTCTCGTATGATACCAAATCCTGAAGTGACTATACCAAGCTGTGATATATATGATCAAAAAACTGGTCACACATTAATCGGATTTTAGTATTTTACTTTATAGTTATAATCATTACCACAATATTTAAATTTGGTGTGATTTAAAATAGATAATAAGTACGTCCCTTATTATCTCTTGCACAAACTATTTTCTTAAAGAGATTATATAATATTAATATTATTGTATACTTACGAGAAGAATTTCCTATACTTTTGGTTATTATGGTTTCCACTATTGAAAGATTTCAGTTTTTATTTTCGCATTTTGACTTTTGAGGTTATTTTTTCGCAATTTTAACTGGCACTCAACAAATAAAATGCAGGTATTACCTAAGTATTAAAAAAAAATTTGTAGTTTAATACCTATAATTAGTAATTACAAACAACTAATAGGTACCTAATTTAAAATATAAGTATATACATATAAATTAATAGTACATTTTTTTAGTAATCCTGAAAGTTTAGTTATCACTTGGTAACTAAAAATAGATCAAATAAAATTGTTTTTTTCCTGTTAACCGACAGCAGTGAGTCTGTTTTAACAATACTACTCCTCAAATAAAAATGTTCTTAAATACCTAGTTTAATTAAGTTGAGTAATTTTTTTTACTTATCTTATCAAATTGATAGGTTTATCAATTAAATTAAATATTCAAATTATTGTCAGTAAATTAATTGCTCATATTATAAGAAAATTATATTTTCGTAGCTATATAACAAATTGTGATAGATTTTCTTTACAACTTAAGAATATGGTAAGGACTGACAGCTGACAAGTGACAACTAATGGTTAACTATTAATAATGAAATCCAATATATTAAATGTCCAATAGAAATTATTAAATTTGAAGTTTTACCAAGAAGCTGTATATTAAATATTGATACATTACCTATGTGACTAGGTATATATGTTACGGCTACTGTATAGTAAAATAATTAAATTGAAACCACTTAAGTGAAACATTATTATTTATTTTTCTATACATATTATGTTTACAGTTGGTACCAATTGACAGAAACATTAGAAAAAAATGACTAGGATAATATATTACCAATAGGAAACACATTTTTTCAATACTCTTGTGTTAAAACTACCTACACGAGTGCACTTATAAAATATAAATTATTATAACTTATAAGTTAAAATATGTTGTAAATATTCAATTCCAACCTAAGAAATATTGAAAAATAACATCCTGAATCGTAAAAAAAAATGAACACGACAAAATATATAATTTATGTATTTATGTAAGTAATAAATATATAGGTACATATATGGCTAAACCATTTATGTACTATGGCCAAGGTGGATTTATACATTTTATTAAATTTATAAATCCACCTTGACTATGACACTATGTAATGTCACAGATTATATAAGTATATTAATATAAATATAATTTGTGGTAATCTTTGGTGGTATAATGTTGTTATTTCAAAAGTCACATTCTGAAAAAAATCTTCACTGCATACCTGCTAAAATGCATCACCGGTCGATCAAATTTCTTGAATTTCGATCGTTTATTATAATTTTGAGTGATATCTCATCAATATTGTAGTATATATAATATAGACTAATAGGCTATATAAATGTTAATGTATTACAATATGATGCTCTTTGATTTTAAGTTACAAGACACACATCATGAATCACTTGAAAATAAATAAAATTATAGGTATTTCAAAATGTAGTATGTATAATGAATAATGATAAAATGTGTGTTGAGAGGGTGGAGTAAAAATACCACTTTTGCAGAAGCACAATTTTGAGCCCCTTTACAGTTTGCGTCATTGACTTAGGCACAGTTCGCCAAACTCTCGTTATTGCATAGATATATAATAAATAATTAATAATATAGGTGCCTATAAAATATATTCTACTCTCTGCACACCTGTATATTATTTTATAAGCAAAGTTATTACTTATTCATAAGATATTTTATCATTCATTATTTTAAAATGTATATTTTTTTGATACCTGCTATTAGTCCGTTATTACTTATTACAGGGGTGGGCAACTGGCGGCCCGCGAGCTTTTTTATCTGGCCCGCGCTACATTTTCAAATTGCATTAGGTAAAGGTATACAAGTCGATTTTGCCGCGTTGTCATTAGAAGCCACACATCCTCAAAACTCTCACTAAACTGCAAATAACTATTTATATTTCAATATTTAATTAAATTATTTTCAATAACGCTTTTTGTATTACCTATTTCATTATAAACAAAATAAATGCTAATTAAAATGTATATTTTGAATGACCTTTTTTTGTTTTTGCTTTCTATGCTCTGGCCCGCTAGATTTTAAATTTCTAAAAATTGGCACTCTAGTAACTTTGAGTTGCCTATCCCTAACTTATTAGAATAGATAGAACTTTGTTTTAGATTATGAAATTAAAAAAAAAAAATTCCAAACAAAAATAAATGCTTGTATACTTACCGGATGGTTTTAATAACGAACACAATAAAAATATGAAAAAATAAACTCAAATAGGGGAAAAGGTCTATAACGACTATAACCTACCTGCCTATTAATTGTTCAAAATGATAAAAAAAAAGACAAAAAGCTGTAAATAAATTGTTCTGATTTTGATGTAAACCTCGTGAATTGTAATACTAGACAAGCAATGAGTGAATGGAAAGCAAACAACATTAGGCGCTTTTTAATGAGTCGATTACTCGTAAGAATGGTAGTGCAGAGTAGCAGGGTAAGATTAATTGATCATTGATGTGAAGATTATTGTATTTTTTTGTTAAGTATAAATGAAACCAAGTTTTTTTACAGTTTTCGTATATAAATAATACAATTATTAAGGTTAAAATGTCAATGGAGGAGGGGGTTAAAAATTCCTCTATCTACGCCTATCTGGGACGGCTGGATGATCTACTTTGGATCAAACATAGGTTCTTTAGCCAACAAATTTGGGGGAAACGGAGATTCATTATCTGTATAATTATTTAAAACATAATCGCTAAATTCTGAGCAGACTTTATCATTTGGACAGACACTCATGAGTATTGAACGGATTTATATGTAATAGAAATACAGAAATATGAACATATATATGGAAGTATAATTTATGAATTACTTACCATGTAGGTTACTTATTTGTTTCAATTCGATAGTGTTTATCGGGAACCAAAATACAGGTTTCAAATATTCAGATACCAAAGAAAATGAATTCGTTCTTGGTACAGTCTATTTACGTCAAATTTACCTGGGAATACATTTTACATTAACTACTCCAAGTTCAATTCATATATTTTAAAGACACGACAAAAATTTAAAAAAAAAATGTATTTGGGCAAGGATATTAAATTTAAATTGTATTAAATATTTTTAAATCATAATCAATAATAACCTATCATAAGGAGTATACTATGCCAATATATTATACCCAGGCACATACAAAAAAAAAAATGTGTGGGGGGGGGGTCATAAACAAATTGTCACCGACCAGTTATTATAGTTATCGATGATTGATATAAATAAATTACACAACTATCAATTTTCGGGGGGGCNTATGCGTGCCTGATTATACCTAAACATTGTCTACAGCCAATGTATTCCTCTCTTTTGCTTGTCGTACATTACATCCTCATTAATTATAATAATTAAAATAAACAAAATACAAACGAGAAATGAGTATATCGCATATACCTGGGCCACCTATGTAGTGTAACTTATAAGTTATAACAAATGTCTAATAAAATCACACTGCGATCGTTGTTATTCGATGATTTGATAACGGAGACCGGAGTACCTAGGAACATCGTGTCACATGATAAAACTGATATGAAACTAGTTTTCAGTATAGTCTACCCTAAAATATACAGAACTTTAAAATCTATAGATTTATGAAAATGACCAATAAATACGAGTTACAAGTGTTACAGAAGGTAGGTAATAGGTATGTAGTGTCTTTAAAATATATGAATTAAACCAAGTCTTTAATGAAAATTAACACTGAGAAATTTTACACGGGTACCTAAATTTGGCGCAAAACGACTGTTGGAAAAACAATTTAGTATTCAAACCCCCCCCCCCTACAGCCCGGGCACCACTTTATTGAGTCCCGGCTACGCTATACTGACCTATATATACCTACAGCTGACGTACAGACGTGAAAATAATATAGAATATATTGTATATATAGTCATAATATTATATTGGTGACCAGTAATACCACATTCGTGTTTGTACGCAGGTACTCGCGGGCCACGGCTTATACCAGGATGTTATATTCATTCTTCACACATCACCGCTCACACATGGACACGGACACAAGGTGCTGGAACGCATTAAGTGTAAGATATTATGCGTAATATCGACTCTATATAATATGTATGTAAATATATCGAAAATAATAATAATAAACCCGAATAGCTAATATTGTAATATATGATGATGTATAGTGTATGTACTGTGCACACAAGACGTTAATACGACCGTAAACGTTGTTGTTTTTATCGAGAACTCTGCAGCGGTGTGGGTGCAGTGTTGCCCGGAAGGCGGGTGGTGCGGACGGACGTGTGAGTGTGACCCAGTGTTGACCACCCTTGGTGTTGGGTGATTTGTCAAAAAATTGCCCTCCGTCGGAGGGTGTCGTGTCGAAACCCGTGTGTCACACTAGCATATAAATACGACAGAGGTGGTTCGCGGAAACGTTAATCATCTTGGCGAGCTCAAATTATATATTATTACCATAATATCCATCACCTCGCTTATATATATATATATATATATATATATTGAACACACACTGCAGACATATTATTAGATGACATAATGTTTATATTTATACGAAAAAATGTTATATTAATGTATTATCGTTTGCGCAGTACCTACACACGCATATGTATGACCATATACCATAATATACCTATTATACCTACACGTGCAGCGATCGGACATGCGGTCCACATGCAGTGTGCCAGCCTGCAGCGCATGTCTCGTGGAAACATGGGTACATCGGATATTCGGATGTACTACATCCGTCACATTACATAATCGAGTTGTTTAACGGACTGAACACGTTTTTTTCTCATAAAGTTTTTGCCCCCGTGATAGGTAATTGACGGTTTTATGAAAAATACAAAAAATATCCTCCACCGCAATGTTTAGACAGATAAGTATGTGAAGTTCAACGCCGTTAATAATTTTAAGATGTAAGACTATAATAGTTTTATTATAGGTACCTATAATACGAGGTGTCCGATATGAACCATTTTACAGTAAGACACTCATTAGGTATCTCAGAAACACAAACTTTTTTGAAAATATTTCTTAGGCCTAATTTAAGTCGTCACAAAACACAATTTTTAGAAAAATTTTATTTTGGCTGGTACAGTGGTACCTAATTGGTTCCCGAGCCCCCAACCCCACATGCCGAATTGGTTCTTGTTTAAATTACTCACATTTTCCTTCTCAGTTTTACAGACTTACGACTGTCAGCTTTAAAATAGGCTTGGTTAAAAATGTGCGGTTGCGGTTATGTGTGTTAAAAAAAATAAAATAAGATACATACAATCTTAAAGTTGTTGATTTGCAAATTTGAGCAAACTTTCTTCATACATTAAATTCGTGTAGGTTTCTCATTAATGTACTCAGTCGTACAGTTTTCCAGGTATTGGTTATTTCTTTCCTGTTTGCTGGCAAGTTTCCTTACATTTAACATTATTATAATTCGAAATTGAATACAACACCAATACAAAAATTATCGCCATTTTATTGCCTATAAGAGTATTGGAGTGTAGGTACATTTATGTTTTATACCATATAATTTATATATTGTACCAACTATACAAACATATAATTTATTATTGCAAAGGAGTGCTTAAAAATGAAAATTGAAACTATTTTGACCTGAACACAAACGGGAACCAATTTTTGGACTCAACTTATTAATATACCTTTTTCAAATGGGAATCATTTCGGTTACTCCTTTTATTTTATGTAGGTAAATTACAGTTCTTATTTACTTAATCCAGGAATTTCCGACCACTGTGTCGTGAAATTCTCCGCGTATCTATGCCGTGTGGGTATTTGTTGTAATTTTAATTTTATGTGTGTACCTACCTAATAGGTATTTCATAATATAATTTCACATTCATTTGAAGACTTCGGTTTTTTATGTTTATTGAAATTGTTCAGATAAATGTTGCCTTCGACAGTTATACGTCTCTAATAAAATACGCGTGTGTGTAGTGGAAATCTATAGAAGTATCAAATGTGACCACAAGTTAAAATATTTGGGAATCTGTGCTCAAAGGATAAGTTTAAGTCACAGACTTACACACGTGACACGTACAAGATATTATTATATAGGTAGGTACTACCCAACAATAAAAAGCGGTTAAGTTGATAACGCTTTGCTGTACATTAGTCGTCACGAGAAGTCACAGTAATGGACGTATTAAATTTATTGGTAGACTACCAAAAATTCTGAGGTAAAAAAATTCTTAGGAAAAATAGTACATAATATAATTTATTCTGTAAAAGGAAAAATACGATGTGGTACACAATATCAAACGTTCCAATTAGTATTAATATGAATTGAAACTAAATTATTTTTACCTTATGAAATTAATAAAATAAATTCTTGTAGGTATAAGTACTTACCAATATAGCCAATATAGGCAATATCACAACTTTTTTGGAGTTTGAGCGCGGCTTGACTTTTTGCAGCATGCAATATTTAAATACTTTAGCTTTTATCTTGATTATCTGGTTTGTCGAGTTTTACTCGTATAGCCTATATAGCGTATACATTCGATATAGGACTGGACAAGATACCTCAAAAAAGCATCTAAATACCAGATACATTTGTAATTATAATATCTAAATACAAGGTATCTACCTACATGATACTATAATATTTTTAAAGATACTAGTTACGAGATACAGTCCTCTACCTTAAGGATAGAAGATACTTTATATATTTATTCAATAATTTACTTTGGATACAAATTAGCTTTTTTTTATTTTAAAAAGAAATGATTTATACTCCATTAAAAAATACTTACACAATAAGTAAATGTTAAGAAAAAAAATAAACTTTTATTTTTAAATTAGCAATGTTTATTTATTAATTCATTATTTATTAAATGTTTAAATTTAGATTAGGTATTCATATAATTATATTAATCCATGTTTTGAAATAAATTCCTGGTCACCTTTTAAAAAGACTAATTTTTTTAAACAATAACTTATTGGGCAATCAGAAAAATATTTGTATAAATGAAACATAATTTTCGAATGTATCTATAGTATCTTAATCATAAAAAGATTCCAGATACAAGTCAGAAAAGTATTTAAATACACGATACAATTGTATCACAAATACGTATCTTAAAATATATTAGTATCTATGAAACTGCCCAGCCTTGGTGGTGGTCGGTGGGTATATATCCATCGTGTACATACTGTACGTACGATAACTGAATAGTTGTCGTTTTTGTCAGTATGGTTCGAAATGTTGTTGATTGATTAGTTGCTATTGAAGAAAACAATGTCAGAAATCGTAGGTACAAGTAAACGAAATAGGCACTAACATAGTTGTGAGTGAGGTTATTCATATACTCTTCAACATACTTTAGCAAAAACAAAACGATGGAAATGTAATAAAAAATACTTAGTATAATTGCCTGGGAATACTGTCTCCATCGTCGCAGTTAGCAAGCTCTGTACTTCAAATTGAACACAACCACGTGGAGTCAAATAACGACAATCTTGTGATAAACCAAGTCAGATATATTATGTGCAAGTTGTAAGTAAAATACCAGCCGAAGCTTTATTGTTTTTACGAAAAGAAAGTGATGTAAAACGAACAATTAGAAACCGAAGAACTAACAATAATCAAGCATTCAATATCAATTTCATAAATGAAGATACATATTGTTATAAAAGGTAAATACAATGTGTAAATGTGTTATTATTATTATTTGACGCAACCTACGTGAATAGACCACTTAGAAAAGTATGGGCTGGTACGAAATTTAAATTTAAAAAAAATAATTCCACTTTCTCATCCGGATACTCGGAATATTCATAAAACAACGATTGACGGTGACGAATAATGTACCTATGTGAATCGTGGAATAACAGTTTAAGTCATTTAGTTTGATAACAGTCATCACTCATCCGACTATTGAGACACTCATCCACAAAACGAAATTAGCTACCAACAGTATGGAAGAGGCCTGTAAAAAAAACAAAACTAAACACAAATCCGACTGGTTACCTTATGTTTTTATGCCAACGAATAGATATTTCCTCTTCTTGTTGTGTCCAGGCTTTAAATGGATGCTTTATTATAGATAATCATATGTATATATAATATATATATCATATATGTAATCATTAAATTACAATAAAATACAACTAAATTCATTTTTGCTAAACAATTGTATTTGAAAATTGCCATTTGTGTGAATAAAATGTAATAACATATTTCAATTGTTTCAAGAACTCACAAATAATATTTTGAAATTACAACAAAATAACTAAAATCGTTATCCTTCTTTCAAACATCTAATTTCGGACAAATTTTGAAGTTAAAATGTCTTAAATTTTTTTTTAAATTTTTTTGTTTTAGTATAAACTGCTAAACTTAGTACTCACCTTGTACTAGATTACCTTGTTTTAGATTTTCAAATTTTTCAATCATTGTTATAAAAACTGAACATTTAAAATTTTTAACGACAAAATAATTTTCAAATTTTAAATATAGTCAACATTTTTAATTTAAGTGTTTAATATTTTTAAACTGCTATTGTAGCAATGTGTGAGGCCTTGTTTAAAATTTCCAAGCGTTTTGACCCCTCAACGATAAAATTGTATTGATATTTATAGAAAAAAAAGTAAAGAAATGGAAAATTTCAAATGTCTTTAAAAAGCTTAAGACGAGTCAAAATATTGTATGCGATAATTACGCATGGAAAACAATAAAAACTGAAAGCTGGTGAAATTTAGTATCTATAGTTATTCATTTTTGAATTACAACAATAAATGAAAATCGTTCCATGAAAAATTGGGCGATTACCTACTTCGTAAAAATTTGAACTCCATCACTGATAAAAATTCAATTTGACTTTCCAGTGGATATTTCTTTTTTGTTAATAGCAGACAAACGGATAAGAGAATCTTATGTTAAATATTCTTAGATAACATTTTTAAAACCCAAAATGATTTGTACTTTTTCGTGATTTTAATGAATTGTGTCAAAATAATAACTTCAGATGAGTGGTAATATTTTGAAAATGTTATGGCATGTAAAAAATGGTAATATAAATATTCAATGAAAATTTCATAAATATTTTTCTTTTAGTTTTAGTTTTGTTTTATCGTGTGCTTTTGAAAATTACTGGGAATTTTGACATCTCGAAATAAATTTAATGCAAGGGTTCCCATAAGATGCTTTAATAGTAGTTCAAAAATATACTTAGGCATGATTATTTTTATCTTATTTAAATTTCAAATGCTGAAAAAATTCATCTTAATCCCAAATATTTGAAAATACAGTGCTTAAAAATATGACAACACGATATTTATTGTCTATCTCTGAGTGCTTGACCCATAACATGGCAAATTTGTGTTCAGCAAAATCAATTTAGTGTTGTTAGATAACTAATATCAGAGTAACTGACATATCATTAAACTTAAAGTTAAGAACATAATTTGTGCTTATACATTAGCGCATTAGCCTGTTAATGGTATTTTAATTTGTCTGCAATATAATTCTTTTTTTGTAATAATTATTATTAAACTTTGTATCATTCTTTTTTCTTGTCAAACATTTAATCTTTAATGATATCTCTTTTCTTATGTGTAAAGTGTAATAATGTACTAGGTCTTGGGTGGTAGGTATTATAATAAAACCAATAAATTGAATTAAACAAATAATTAAAAATTAGTATTTTAAAAGTGTATATTTTACATACCTGCTAAGAGTTTGCATATGAATTGGAAAATGAGAAAAGAGCCAGCTTAAAGTTTTATTATAGTAAATTGAATATTATAGCTAACAACACAGATTGGTTCTGCGAAACATAAATTTGTGTGTTGAGCTCCATACAAAAATGTAATTAGTATAATGTTTAAACATAAACATATTATTTTATATTGAATCTGTAAGTCAACTAAAAATATGATTAACTAAAGCAGTGGTTCCCAACCTTTTTGGTACTACGGACCACTATGAGAACTTTCGATACGTCACGGACCACCTCAATTGTATACCTTATTTTTCTTATAAATAAGAATCAATTTTTTTTCACATATTTTAGAATTTTGATTATTATTACATGAATAAAGGCTTTTAATAACATGGGTTTCACTATGTAATATAAATTTATAAAGAAACGACTTACTATACACGATTGTCAATAGTTAGTGTTATGCCTCAAAGGAAAATGAAATTATTAAAATATTTTTACATTTTGTAAGTATGGCTCACGGACCACATGTCAATGTCTCGCGGACCACTAGTGGTCCGCGGACCATAGGTTGGGACCCTATGAACTAAAGGAACACATTACTTTATGAAGAAGCTGTTTTAGGATGGAGTTTAATGGTATAAAGTTGTAAAAACAAAAACTTAAGTATTTTTATGTTCATTAAAATCCAGTTTATATCGAAATGTGACAAATAGAAAATATTGAAACTAAAATAACATTTTATACATACTGTTGTAACTATTATTTTTAAATACCTATTATAATTTTGTTTATTTTAATGAACACAATTTCAAAATGGAAAGATTTCCCCCCTACCATTACAAAAATCAAGGCCCAGGTTAGATCACGAGATGCATTTGTGAATAAATAAATAATTATAATATCATGTAATCACAAAAATTTTAAATTCATGTTTATTGTAAAATATGGAACTATTTCAGTCCAAGAATATAATTTAAAAATTGTATAATGCTCATTATAATTGGTCCCCAAGCCACAAACCAACGTAGCCAATCTAATAATTGGCCATACAAAACATGAGGTTTTTCCCATCTGAACAATTAAATAGTTAAGAAAAAGTACAAATTACATTAAAATGTAGGTAGCACACATTTAAAAATTAACATAAGTGAACTATCATTTATCAAAGTAACAACAATAGAGACCTACTATTAAAATATAGCTGATTTAAATTTGATAGGTGACCTATATGAACTATTTCAAATGAACATAATAATATTATATATAATTTAATACATAATATTAAAATAATTGGACATTTTATTCATACATTTGGTATTTATAATGTATTGTCAACTTTTAATTTCTTAAATAACTTTGAATCTAAATCAATCCTCTACCATAAAAACAAGTACATAAAATGACAACTTTAATCCTATTATTCAACATTGCGAGACAGAGAAATTTATTGTTGATAGAGAGTAGTACATTTTTTTATCCATGAAAATAGTTAATATTAAATAATTGAGGCAAAATCTGATTATCACAGAAAATAAACATTTGACGCACTTATTAAGATTTAAACACAATGCTGGTTTTCCGTACACAAATGATAAGAAAATAAGAGCCAAAACCGAAATCCAGAATTTAATTATTCAGGTTCAAAGCCTTGATAAAAATTTAAATACTTAAAAAAGAATTAAAAACATTCTATTGATTGCAAAATTTAAACCATTAGTATTATTGAATAATAGAATAAATTACCTTAAAATATAAAGACAAATTCATATTTTAATAATTTTACGAGTAAGATACTAAGATGCAACTATCAATCTTCAATCAATCTTCACTGTCGATAACTGTTTTGCACAAATAAGATTATTAAATAAATATTGTAAAATAAATAGTGATAATTGAGCAACCAAATTTTGTAACAGTGAAGATTATATATTGTGACGGAACTATTTATAATGTTTTGAATGCTCAACTCAGTTGTTTATAACCATACTCGAAGTTGAAAATGAATAAATCTTTATTCATTACCAGTGATAAAGCAAGAGTATGGCAAACTTTGTGCTTAAAAACAACATTTTTTCATTATACATAATATATTTTGAAATGTGTATGATTTTGTTTATTTGTACACACTACGTGTGGATTTAATGATGAAATTATGAAAATAGCACAAGGAATATTCCAATTGTGTTTCATTAATTGTTGTTATGAAAATAATGGTTAAAAAGATAGCATTAAGTCAATTTTTTAATTGGTAAAAAGCCGCTTTTTTGTTTGCTGGGGGCACTAGCGAGTTTTCCTACGCTATTTTTCATTCCAGATAAATCATTTAAAATATATAACTGCTTCATTACAATTAGTTTTCTTGTTGGCGGTTAACTATCCATAAATTGTTATTTTCTATTAAATATATAATATACTATTTAGTGATGTTAGTTTACAAACAATGAGATTTTATACAAAACTATTATGGTTATATGTTTCCATAGAAGATGACGTCAACAAATTTACAAATTCCATTTTAGTAAAATAATCTTATACAATTATTCTAAATAATATCTTCTTAAAATATTTCAACTTAGATAAAATATTTATATTAAAAAGGATACGGATTACGGAACATTCTTTTCAAATCAACTTTCTCTTTACAATAAGGACATGTTTGTTTTTTACCAACAATACACCATCCTCGAATACAGAATTCATGAAATCTAAAAATGTAAAAATATATTTTGATTATAATTTTATTCTAATATAAATTTAACAATTTTTAACAAACTTACGTATGATCACATGTTAATTGGAAAGTAGATTCAATTATACCTTCTTCACCAGCATTCACTAATAATTTGTTACCACAAACAGCACAAATATTTTTATCCAAATTTCTAGTTGGCATTCCTTGAGGTGTATAATACTAATAATATTAATACAACAATAAATAAATAATAATACTTAGATAGTGAAATGACTTATCAATAGTCTATAACTATTTACTCATTACATTTTTTAATGTTATAAAGAGATTGATATTATGGGACTATATTTGTAATTAAGTGTTTAAGTTTTATAATCCAAGCACAAAATTGATGAGTTTATTAATGATGTGCATTTCTTTAAAAACTATTTTTAGCAAAGTGCATTTAAGAAATTAAATATTTTATACAAAGTATACTTATTAAGTTATTGAACAATTTATTTTATAAATTTTAAACTCTTACTCCCAAGTGTGCAGCCATTTTAGATGCACATATTTCAGCAATATCTTGTCCTAAGACACCAAAATACAACCCATAGTACATAATTATCAATCCATAATCCATCCATATAGCTGGGTTAACATTGAATACAACACTGATGCCAAAGAATGCAGCAACCATGATAAAGTATCCAACAATACCAAGTACATAAGTTAGTTTGTAGATGAAATAGAACCATTTGTACACCAATCTGGATAACATTTATGCCATCACACTATATACAACATGATGTATTATGTTATATAAGTACTCGCCTTAGCGATAAATATGACAAGCCAAGGGCGCCCACTATGGTTGTAATGGGAAAGTGGTTGAAAACTACCCAAGATGGTTTTGAAACCCAAATTTTGGTATCAAAATATATTTAATATATAGTAAAATTATTATTTTTACTACTTACTCAAGAATCAAAAATTAAAATATTCTTAATCTTGATTTTAGTTATTTTGTTTTTAATTCAATGGAGATTGCTAATTAGGGGAGGGAGATTAACGTTATGCACAAACTGCACTGATTTTCAAGGGGCGCCCCTGTGACAAGCATAAAAAACATACCTAGGTGTTGATCCTTGTAAAGGTTTTTCTAAAGCTTTTCGTACCACTAGTCCTGTGATCAATGAAAATAATGTCCAAAATATAATAAACCTCCAATATGACATACGAATAGACATAATAAATGGTATTATCCATAAAGCTAAAGATGTAACAACCTAAAAAAAATAATCAGTTAGCACAAGAGAACATAATATAAATATTAAAAATACAATTTACTTGAAATGATTTAAAATGTCTTCTTTTCCATTCTAATAGCACTATTTGTGCAACAATCATGGTAATCATTAAAATTATCAACATCTCAGCATGCATTGACTCGTGGCCTTTATGCAGTTCATGTAGTTTTCTATGCTCTTCTCTAAGAATCAAAAAATTATACAATAAATTAAAATAATAACCTAACATAATACAACATAAGAATTCTTTGTGAAAAAAAATTAAAATTTTTATATATAATAATTTTAAGTTATGATTTATGGATAACAATTTTTAGGTATAAATTTCTATAAGACATAAGTATATTGAGGTTTTATTATTTATTTATATTTCATTAATTCATACAATTTGTTTCTAACTATACTATTAGTTACAATGTGAAAACAAAAAACTTATAACTATTATTAAATATTGAATTTTCATTTTTATTTCTGTAACTAAAAATGTCAGATAAAATTGTATTAGAAAAGAAATCTGCTCAAACTGATGTCTTACAATAGTCAATAGCCCTTAATTATTAAGAGGACTTTACACTGACATTTATTGTCTCCGTTTTACAAGTGCGTAACATACCAAATTTTACACCCATCAGATCACATTTAACTTTGATGGTTTAAAAAATTAAAGTTAATTTACCTCTAATTAAATGTAAATATAAGATTATTATCTATGTCATCTCGTTGTTATTATTATAAGTATTTTAAGATGTACGGACAATTTACAATTTTAAAATACTCATAACTCGTTTTGAAATTAAAATATGATAAAAACCTCACAAGAAGACCTCGGTAAATCTTACCTTTAAATTTTATAAGCCAATTCACTCTAATTTTTAAGGTAACGGACCTAAATGTCATCTGCTGATCGTAAAATATTCTATGTTAAGCACTTTACAATTTGTATTTTGTATTTTGTACAACTAATCGTATAAAACTGTATTTTTAATGATTTGTATATTAATACATTAAAATGTGCATACCTCATTTGTTCTTCCCGGGTCAAAACTCTAGTGACATTTTCCGCTGGTTCAATCTAGAAAAAATGATAAAAATATTTATCAATGATACTTTATGTTTGCATATGTAAATAGTTGCTCATTATTAATTTATATGTTCAAATTATACTCACGGCCAGCTCTGTGATATTTATATCGTCCATTTCTGGATTTTGACTAATGTTTACTGATTACTTCACTAATATTTGGGAAATTTCTAGCAATACTATTGACACATTGTTGAATGTATTTAAATCATTGAATATCAGTTGACCATATCTAATATAAAACCTTAAGTATAGTTGATAACAAAACATTAATTATATAATAATATAAACACAGTTTTATATTGAATAAGAACATACCATTAAATGGATAATATAAGCTATTCTAAATCTGTAAGTAACCTTTTCACTTAGAAATCTCGATTCACCACCTGTTACGTTAAATAATCTGACAATTCCAATTTTAAGTTAAATATCTTGGACTAACTCTAGGTAAGCACCTAACCTTGAGCCCACACAAAACTGTTAACTTAAAGCTTTACCTCCTAATCCAAACTCTCCCTATCCAATAAACTTAACTTATACAAATCAATAGTTCGACCAGTTTGGAAAAACCAGATTGGTACTCAATTATGGAAAGCCATTTACAAAGCCATTTAATACCAAAACACTTTAGGCATTCAATCCATCTGCTTACAACTAGTAACGTCTTTCCTTTGGTATTTCACAAACAAAAATTACTACCCTTAATTAATTGGTGAAATTATATTACTAAATTTTTAAACTAACTTAAACTCTCACATTAACTGGTTAATTAAGCAACTATCATCTATCTCACTTCCTGGTAATGTAGAAAAACCAATAATGTCTAAAAAGTACCTAGTAGGGTGGTACTGCTGATAAATACTAACCTGTCAATAAGAAAATAACCATTAACCATCAAATTTACTCATCACAATTATTGTACTGTATAAATTGTAAATAATTTTAATAATAAAAAAAAAGTTTTACACTTACCTTCAAAATAAAATATCGAGATAATTTTTAAAAGAAAAACAGACGTCTTAAAAATTACGTCGGGTAAACCAATAGTAGGTTCGACTAAATTGTCACAACCAGTGAATTTATTTATACAACTTGTAAAAAAACATCACAGGAAGTATACAGTAGCAATGTAAACTATATTTTTTTTTAGGTAGCCTATCAATATTTACCTTTTGTAAATAATATTGTTCTATGATAATATCAATTAACTATCTACTTATTGCATTGTATAGTGATAAAAGATGAATTAATACTTCCACGGAATATCACGAACCACAGTAAGTTTTAGGATAATAGTTATGGGTATTCGACATATTTTGTTCTTACTTTACAATATTTGATGTGTAATCATTAAATTTTTTAATCTTTAATCAATATAATATTATCTATAATAAACGGGGTTCAGTCATATTCTTCTACAAACAATTTGTCCTACTTGTTACATTTTGCACTGTGTAGTAATATCACAGAAAAGGTGAAAATCATTGATTTTATAATAATAACCAAGTGTATGTAACTCAATTATTCATTATAATTTACAGACTTACAGTGTACGATATACTTAGCGATATTACTAATTTGTTAAGCACTACAGTTTATAAATTGTTGATAGGCTCAAATATGATGGGGAGGGCTTTAGGGACTAAGCATCCCCAGAAAATAATTTCAATAGCCTCTCTAAACATTTTTAAAATTTATTTTTTGAGTTTTTTCAACACTATTGTAATAGGGCTTCACTCCCCTTCCATCAAAATATCAAAAGTGTTTTGCGTCTATGATACTGTTGTATGAAATAATAATCGTGTGAATAGGTACGAATTCTGTTGGTGTTTTGTATAATATAATTATGATACTAAACTTTGTAGATACAAGTATATAACCGTTACATATATAAAGATCGCATTTGTATAAGCTTTTATAAATGCATTAAAATATTTTTTACTTTGTATAACTTATTATATTATTATTTACTCTATATATTATATAATTCACTAAATAAGCAAAAACAAATTTAATAACCTAATAGGTATCGGTATACAGCCATAATATTTTAAAAAAATTTTAAATTTTAACCAAATAAAAAAAAAAACAATTTTTGGAGAACAGTGTTAGTCACATCCTCGTGGTGTTCGCTGGCTAAATGCCTGTCATAAAAATAATATTACTTAAAAATAGCCTCTGCTGCAGGGCGCGATGTCTCACAGAGAAATTTATTCCTGAAATGTATTGGGCACAATTTACGGTTGTCCAATTTTTTTCCTTTTTTTATGGGGCGTTGAGGCTAGTTTAAAACTACTGGGCCAGGAGCCCAATCAATAATCATGATGCAGACCGATATATTGAAGCTAGATATTGTAGTCTAACTCGATACCTATACCTGTTTAAATTCAATAGCCAATATTATACAAGTCAAAAACTGTGAATTTTACAGAACAATGAAAGTTCGAAAAAAAAGTTCGGACGTATAGATGGAAAAATGATGTCAATAAAAATGTACACCTGAATATTAGATGAGCTGTGACGTGAAATAGTGTATTGCGTGGCGACTTTCTATGGGCAGGAAGTGAGGGAGTTACTTATTTCAATTTTCAGTCGTCACGAATCGCAGACGAGGGCTTTATTTCACCCAAAACTGAAATAAGTATTGGTTTTCCCGCACGAGCCACACGTCATATAACACCATGTGTTGTCACTACTCTGCTGCTTCTATCGATATTGTAGTCATCCAATAATAATCCATAGTGAACTGTTCTAGTTGGTCTCGATTCACGTTGACGTTGGCGTAACTGTTTGATACGGAACGGAACGGCAGAAACTCCTGGAGATGTCCTGCAGATAGTATTTGACATAAAAGATAAAACATTTCGGCACATTTACACGTGTATTAATCTGATTTGGACAATTACGCCCTTTCCAACCCCGAGAATCCTTGGGGTTAATCGTTATTTATGTTATGAGGATGTTGAAAGCGAACGTTTGTTTTCATGATTATTATCAAGCTCCCCTCTCCGAGGTTTTCCCCTTAATAGGGGAAATTACTGCTGTAGGCAAATGCCTACAATACTGTCTACGACAATCTTTCACATTTTTAGTTTGTATTTGGAAGTGTGCTTAAAAGTTTATCTCGCTCAATAAAAATGTAAAACCTATTGATAACAATACACCTATACATAATAAATACTATTGAAACCAGATGGATTGTAAAATATATTGGCTTTATTAAATAATACTGTTAAACATATCACCATAGTTTTATGTATGGACCGGTACAGTTCAAGAGTTTCTCCAGTCCAGTTTTAACTTTTGAGGTTTTCGTTACTCTTTTATTATTCTTATAGCATATTTTACTCTTTTAAGTCTTACCACAGTGATACTTCCTGTTGGCTGTTGCCTGTTACTATTACAGTGTTACGAGTTATTGAGTGTGGCCCGCTGAGAGACGATTCTGCAGCTATCAAAAACCAAGATCACTGTTTTTCCAGTCGAACGTTTAAGGTTACCTATCCAATATGTTGGCTATTTTTTCAAAGACGCGTACCTTGCTTAAAAAAGCAGGTTCGCAAACTGTTCGTCAGATATCGTCGATTAATTTCGATATCCAACAGAAGCAACCCATGGCCCCAACACAAGTCGAATTTACTAGAGCCAGGTAATTTCTAGGCCAAGTCGTGTAGGAACCAATAATTGTACGGTCGTATAGCAATGGCTTCTGTTCAATATTTAATCACCATCATTATTCTGAGGCATTGTTGGATACTTGGATGGCGAGGAATTCAACACCCTGAGTTGTTGATCTCAGTATAGTATTATTTATTTTTAATTATAGATATGGAGGGAAAAATGCAGTCACTATGTTGCCGGGCGCCGGCATTGGACCAGAGCTGATGGGTTATGTAAAAGAAGTGTTTTTAGAAGGTGGCATACCAATCGATTTCGAGACAATTCAGATCGATCCAAAATGTGAAAATAACGATGATCTGGAATACGCCATAATGTCTATTCGTAGAAACGGCGTATGTATCAAAGGCAACATTGAAACACAAAGCCTCGATTCTGGTATCATTTCGCGTAATGTCACCATACGTAACGAACTCGATTTATTTGTGAACGCCATACATGCGCAGTCGTACGATAACATACCAAGTCGCCACAAGAATGTAAATGTTATAGTTGTACGTCAAAACACTGAAGGTGAGTATGCAATGTTAGAGCACGAAGGTGTCAAAGGTGTGGTCGAGTCTATGAAAGTTATCACTAGAAACAATTCTACAAGGTTGGCCCGTTACGCATTTGAATTGGCCAAAAACAATGGTCGGAATAAAGTCACAGCAATCCACAAAGCCAATATTATGAAATTATCGGATGGATTGTTTTTGGAATCTTGCATGAATATGTCATTGAATTACCCAGATATCAAGTTTGATCACATGATTATCGACAACTGTTGCATGCAGTTGGTGTCTAATCCCCATCAGTTTGACGTGATGGTCATGCCCAACTTGTATGGTTCAATAGTGTCAAATGTAATATGCGGCCTAGTTGGTGGTGCGGGCATAATTTCGGGTAAAAACTACGGGGATCATTATGCAATTTTTGAGCCAGGAACCAGAAACACTGGTTCATCTATTGCAGGCACTAACACTGCAAATCCAGTGGCGATGTTAAATGCGTCGGCCGACATGTTAGAACACTTGGGTCACCAAGTGCACTGCGATAAGATCAGAACAGCTATATGTAAAACTCTCAACGAAGACAAGGTGCACACAGCTGATCTAAATGGTACTGCAAAAAGTTCTGATGTGGTACAAAATATTATCAAACACGTAAAATGCATTACGGGTAGAAACTAATCGTGCTTTGTATTGAACTGGGTAGGTATCTATGGTATAAATCTATACGGTTTCATAGACTTATATTAGATACCCAGTTCATTATAAAACATAATTATAGATCATATATTGTACCCGAAATACTTTTTACATGTTTGTATAATAATATTACATTAATTGATACGATCGAGCCATACAAGTTGGGCATGACATTACGATGGGGATTAGACACCAAATGAGTGCAACAGTTGTCAATAATCATGTGATCAAAATTGATGTCTGGTTAATTCAATGAAAACATATTTATGCAAGCTTCCAAACACAATCCATCCGTCAATTGCATAATGTTGGCTTTGTGGATTGCTGTGACTTATTACTGCACCCATTACAGTTTTTGGCCAGTTACGGACCAACTTTGTAGAACTGCCTCTAGTGAAAACATTCATGGATTCGACCACACCTTTGACACGTTCGTGTTCTAACATTGCATACCCACCTTCAGTATTTCGTGATCAACTTTAATGATGTTATGTCGTTGCATAAAAACACATGTAATCATGTAAAATAAAACCAAATTTAATAATCATGATGGTTTTTTCTGTTTAGATATCAATAATTAATTAGTACAACAATACTATGGTTTATTTACAGTACCATTAGATACTCGATATACATTTTTATTTAAATGTTTTATTAATTAACGATTAAAAATAAAAATATTTTTAAGTTGACTGTTGACTGTTACATTTAGGATTTACATGAGTACTTTCTCCTAGTGGCTAGTGGGTGAACCATCTACCAAATAATAAATAGAAAAATATTAAAAATTTGTGGTGAAATTTACAACTGAAACAAATTAAGTGTAACAATATTTCAATGCTGTATAAAGTCTGAAGGTTGAAGCCATAAAGGTACCTTATAAATCGATAGAGAACTAGTAAAAACTATAAATGTTTTTTTTTGTGATATTTTGTTATGATATATACTCACAAGCTACAACAGTTTTATTCCGTTCCTATTTACAGTATATTATAAAATATAATAAAGTATGAAAATGTTTTATTTATTCAAATTGTTTTCATATTTAATTTTCCTAAATAGTAAATATTGTATAAAACATGTTTCTGGCAATCTTTAGCGGTAACACATAAAAATAAATTAACCCTATATGTGGCTATGTCTGAACTTCTATCAATCTTGTTATTAATGTATATTAATATTTCGGAATTAAATTTGATTAAAGTTCACATTTTATGAATTTAAACATGTCTTATACTTTCTCTGTTATTTTTGGATGCCTTATTACTTTATGTTTTTTAAAATGCATTAGGTACCTATTCGCTTGCCCACAAGCACCTTCACATTTCCTTCATATACTTAGAAAGATAGAATTAAAGTCCATTAATTGTAAATGCATTTTTTAAATCGAACGTGAAAGGTTATCCAATATCTTGTCTATTTTTTTAAAGTAGACACCTTGCTTAGGAAATCGGATTCGCATACCAACCGCCGGTCTGTCGTCGGAAAAATTTCAAATCTTAGTAGGTAAATAAAAGTTTACAAAAGTAAGCTAAAAAAAATACACATTTTCATTCGAATTCACAAGCCTATTCATGAAACATCAGTTATAAAGTTTGATCAAAAACAACCATAAATTACAATAGTCATATATCATATTTTAGAAAAAATCTAAAAAAATGTATAACAATTTTAATTGGTTCAAATATGCAAAAATAGGCAACATTAAATTTTACATATACTATCCTATCACATTAGTTTAATATTCAAATGTATAGCTTACTATCTAGCTACTTTTTGGGCTGTTAAAAAAAACTTGCAAATGCATATAAATCCGGGCCCTATAACTCATAAATCATAAATCATAATATATTAGAACAAGGCTACCCTCAAAAGAGTACAGCGGTACTCTTCTCCAACCGGCGCCCTAAAACTCCTGGAAACTTAAAAATGTACGGTAATAGTATTCCTTGGTCACCTAATATCAAATACCTCGGTGTAATATTGGACAGGAAATTAACCTGGAATGCACATATCACCTCCAAAACACAACAAGGCTACCAAAGGTTAAAAGTTCTTTACCCATTGATTCACGGTCAAACTGCTTTAAGCTGGAGATTTTCGCTAATGCTATATAAGCAAATATTGCGACCATTACTTCTTTACGCAGCCCCTGTGGGGGGAAGTTGTGCAAAAACCCACCTACACAAAATACAAATCTTACAATCAAAGGTTCTGAGAACCATTTCTAATGTCCCATGGTTTGTACGCTGCAATGATGCACTTCATCAAGACTTCCAGCTACCCACAATAGTCAATAGCAGAGTACCTACATAAAAAAATGTACTATCAACTTCTTCGACCACATCAATGCTGTTCACAGTGCGAAATAGTACAGATTAAGTGACCCTCCTTTTGTACGCCGACTCAAGCGTAGACGTCCTCACGACCTGTCATTATAATTTTATTTATTAACTTTATTTAGTTTAATTCTTCTGATTTAAGTATTTTAAAATGTATTTTTGATAGTATCTACTATCTATTACCTATTACTAATTTTTATCAATTTTCATAGGTTAAAAAAAAAATGTATTAATTAACAATAAATTAAGATGCCATAGTCAGTAAAACTTTATTTAATAAAAAAAAAAAAAAACAAAAAAATAAGGAAAAACGGAAATTTTTACGGAAACCCGGCTTTTTACAAAATCGATTTTTGTTTTTGATGTAACTCCAAAAAAAAAAAATATCGTAAATACATGAAATTTCCACTGAATGTTTATATCCCCGTTTTCTAAACACCATACAATTTAAATAATTCAAAATATTTTAACTCATGTTGAACTACTTTTAGTTATATGAAATTTTCGATTATTATTTTTTTTTTTTTTACAAATGTCGATAAAAAAATTTTCATTCAGTTAAAAACTTGAAGATATAATACAAGGGTCCTCATAAGTTGTTGTTAGTGAAAATTAAAAAAAACAGTTTAACGTAGATCTACAATTATATTTTTATGAGCCTCTGAATTTTAAATTTCGAGAAAATACTTAAAAATCAAGAAAATTATTTTAGGTTAGAAATTCATAAAAAAATCATTTTTATAACTGAAAATGGAAAACTGAGTACAAGATTTCTTATAAGTTTGTCTACCTATATCAAAAAAAAAAATTTACCGGAAAGTTTAATTAAATCTGAATGAGAATTTGAAATTGAAATTTTTACAACATTGGATATTCACTAGATTTCCCATGTAGCGATTTCCTAATTTTGTTGTCAAAAACGAATAACTGTAGATAGGTACTTAAAATGTACACCATATTTTTAGTTTATCATGCATACACATTACACATGATCATAGGCGTGCGCAGGAATTTTTCACAGGGTGTGCAGAATTATTTTAGTAAGGGTTACTTGACCTACTATAATTCAGTAAGATAAATACTGTCTTAATATTATAATAATTAGTTTATAATAAATTTTAATTTTAAAATAAAATAATTATTAGTTTACATATTATACAACTAGCATTTACATTTATAGGTATTTTATAATGGTAATCTTCTTTGTATTGGTGTTAGTGTTTTAAATTCATCAATAATTTCCTCCATATCTAAAGATTTTGCAATTTCCTGTTCAACAAAAATTGTAAGTAAGGCATCTAACCTTTCTTGAGCCATTGTACTTCTTAATTTATTTTTAACTATTGCCATTTTTGAAAAAGCTCTTTCACAAGAGCAACTAGTGACTGGTATGGTAGTAAATTCTTGTAGAACTTTAAATATATTTTCAAAAGTTCTCATTCGGTCTGTTCCATCTTTAGTTATCCAACTCAACCACTGAGTTATTGTACTATTATTACTTCCTCTTGGTATGTCATCTATTTGTGTAAACAGTCTGACTTCAGTGTTGAGTTGATCAAAAGATAAACCAAATGTATCAGAAATAGTCTGTAGATGTTTTTTTTCTATTTCTAGTTTTAATAAGTTACCAACACTATTGATTAAATTTAATGTATCTTGACTGAAACGAACTTTGATGCCATTTAACATTTTATCAATAACACTGTTATACACAGTTATCTTCATTTCTTCTTTTGTATTTTCAAAAAAATGTTGCGAATGATGCTCATAATCTACTTTAGTTGATACTTTACGCCTTTTTATCTCAGGTATGGATACATCAATTTTAGTACAAGCCACTTTAGTTTCATCAAAAATTGTATTAAATGTTTTGTCTGATCTCATCGTTTGAAGAGAGTTTTGTAAAGCAATGATTAGTGTAACTGCTGTATGTAAATCCAAGTTAGGTGATTGTAATGTAGCACTAACTTTGTTTACTAAATTTAGAATAGGGCTTAACATACACATAGCAAAAACAAATTTAAAAGTTTTCAAAGAATAAATGAGACCTTTTGTTTTGGCTCTTACATCTGGAAGATTTGTTGAGTCTGATATTTCCTCCAATGCTTTTAATATTGCTACATAATTATGTTTAATTGCCTCAATTGCTTCAGAACGGCATGCCCATCTTGTAGTTGACAGTGTCTTCAATGTTTTTAACTTTATATTCATTGAAGCTGAAATTTTCTCTAATATAGCATGACGTACACAACTACCTTCAATTAAATTGTAAACTAATTGAACAGTACCAAAAAAATCAAATGTCACACGGTTTTCTTTTCCAATGGAATCTACTAACACAAGGTTTAAGCAATGCCCATAACAATGAACATAGAAAAGCTTTGAATTCATCTCTTTACATTTAGCTTGGACGCCTGCTACATGACCAGACATTGTAGAAGCACCGTCGAAGCAAACCGACAACACATTATGCCATTCAATACCTATATTGTTCAATACATCACATAATTCCAAAAAAATAGTTTGAGCATCTCCATGTAATAATCTTCTTAAACAAAAAAATCTTTCAACTGGTCTTTTTTGCTCGGATGAATAATATCGGATAACAAAAGACATTTGCTCATTGTGACCAACATCACTAGTTTCGTCCGCGATTATTGAAACTTTTTTTCCACAAAGTTCATTAGAAATTTTTCTTCGAATAATATTACAAATTGATAAGATTAGGTCATTTTGGATATGGTTACTCGTATATAACGCATTCCGAGGTCCATTATCTAAATGATCTTTTAATACTGGATCATATTTTTTAAGCAAATTGACTAATTCTAAAAACAACCCTTGATGTAATTCTGAACTTTTTTCAATATGTCCACGAAATGGACGGCCACCTAGTCCTAAGCATAAAGTAACATCAATAAGACGATACATTATTTGTCTGTTATGCAATTTTTGTTTCTCTTTTTGAGCAAGTTGAATTTCATTTCCTTTGTCTATCAGAACATCTATAGATTTACAGTTCAAAAAATTACTCATTGAAGTACTACTGTTAATATGGGACTTGGAAAGCTGATGTGTTCTAAACTTATTAGTTCCTAAACGCCAATTATTAAAACCCAAATGAGAGAAGGTCTTATCTAATTGTCCATTATTTTTTCCATTAGAGTGTAAAAAAACTCTACAGCTGAAACAATATGCACGATCTAGTTTAACGCTGTATTCCAGCCAGCTGAAACTCTTAAACCATTCTTTATGAAATATTATTATTAGGTATTGCGTTATCTCGATGAACGGACTATTATTTATGTAATTTACAATAGTGTATAATACATAATTATGTTATATATTATACATGTATACATATTATACAGAATTAATTATACCAACTCTCAATAATCATTTTTAAATAATTAAACAATGTTTCATCAACAATTTAAAGTAGGCACACATTTTTGCAGGGTGTGCAGCTGCACACCCTGCACACCCCGTGCGCACGCCTATGCACATGATAACATTTTCAAAACATTTTGATTAGTTTTGAGCTGTTTACAGACATTTTCATAAATGTCCATAAAATTGTATTGGTTGGGTCAAAAAGCATGACAATTTAATATAATACTTTTGATAAATTGTTACAATAGCAGTTGAAAAATATTAAAAATATATAGGCACGATTTTTTTTATAAGCATTTAAAGTTCAAATTTGGACATTTTTTAACAAATTGAAAAATATAATTTTGTAGTTAAAAAATGTATTAAATGTTCAACTTTCATACCCAAGTATTGAAAATTTATAACAAGGTTCTACGTAAGTAGTTATTTCTGTAACCAAAAAATCTAAAAATAAACATAAACAGAGCTTTTTTTAAGGTCAAATTTAGACAAAATTACATATCATTAAGAATAACGATTTTTGTCATTTTGTTGTAATTCGGTTCACAAAACAGAATAATTTTACAGTAGCATATTATATAATATTTTTCCAGCATCACTGAAAAATAATTTACCGGTAACCGTATTAATAATAAGTAAATAACAATATAAAATATCCCAGACTGACATACCGTTTCCACTCAGAATCGTTTCTCGTATACAATGATATTATATCAATATCATTGAATTTTAAATTTAATACCATCCATTACAGTGAATTTCTTGACACTTCTCACTTTATGAGTTGCAGATCGATATTTCACGATTAAACTTAATAAACCCGCTTTTTTTTACTACGATTCCGGATCTAGGGAGGGGTGGGGGTAATGGGTCTCCTTGATTCAGGCGTTGTTAGTACAAGGGAGCTCTGGCGCTCAAGTAAGTTTTCGAGAGATATAAAAAGTAATGAACATAAGTAGTAAGTACGTGTAAATAACAAATCCGAGTCTGTGGTATAATATTATCCATAAACCAGCTTATTAACCTAACCTTGCCACGGTCTTAGACTATGATAAGTCATAGAATTCGGTTAGGTTAGGTTAGTTGGTGATAACTGATAGTACAGAACAATTATAGGTGATAGTGTAATATCATTTACTGATAAATAAAAACATGAAAATATGATAAAAAACACGGACATCTGTGATAAAAATGTATTTCAACAACACGTGTGACGCTACGAGATAATATGACAATTGGCAGTATTATTCAGTATTTCTGTAATTAATATTTAATAATAGAATTGAGTATTCACTAATTTGTGAAAGTTACATTTTGTAATATTAAATTCCTTCTAATATTCATTCATAAAAGACATGTAAGTATGTCTTTAGCACCATCTTTGCAATGGGAATCTTTAAATCTGTCTGAACCTGTTCTAAAAACAATCAAAGAACATTTTAAATTTAAATGTATGACACCAATACAGGTAATAGTTTGCAACATAGCAAAAATATTACATACTTAATAATTAAAATATAATTGTTTCAGGTCGAATCTATCAAGAATTATTTAGAAAAAAAAAAAGATGTTGCTGCAGAAGCGGTCACCGGTAGCGGGAAAACATTGGCATTTTTAGTTCCTATGCTAGAATTGATTCTAGTAAGTTTTACTTCTCATGATTCAAAAACAATTAGAATATATTGTATGTACCATTGTACCTGTATGATACTTAAATAAATATTGTGTTATTAGAAACGCAGTGATCCTTTGAAGAAACATGAAGTTGGTGGCCTTATCATATCTCCAACTCGAGAATTAGCTACTCAAACCAGTCATGTATTGGCTGAATTTTTGAAGAATATTGAAGGTGTTACACAGATGCTAACTTTAGGTGGCAATCCAATAGAAACTGATGTTAAAGCATTTAATAAAAATGGAGCAAATATTCTTGTGGCTACTCCTGGACGACTGGAAGATTTATTAACTAGAAAGATACCAAATTTTCATTTACACAAATCACTTAAGTCATTGGTAAGAAGTTGAATACATTGAAATAATGAAATACATACAGTTCATTAGAACTATTGAATGACTTTGAATTTATTAATAGGAAATGTTGGTGTTAGATGAAGCTGATAAGCTGTTAGAATTAGGTTTTGAAAAGCCCATTAATACTGTTTTACAATATTTGCCTACGCAAAGAAGAACAGGCTTGTTTTCAGCCACTCAAACTAAACAGGTAGCAATGCTTGTTAAGGCAGGACTCAGAAATCCTATCATGGTTATTGTAAAGGAAAAACATTGTTTGAACCCAAAAAGGTATTTTATAATATTATTAAATTGTATACTGTGATAATAAGTTACTATTTATTTTCAGTAATCAAATTGAATCTATATCTACACCTTCAGCATTAAAAAATTTTTATACAATATGTGATGCCGATAAAAAGTTAGCATTTTTAGTAACTTTTTTAAAAAAAAATGGATTAAATTCAAAATATATGTTGTTTTTATCAACATGTGCCTGTGTTGAATACTTTTCAATAATTTTAAGAAGGTAAGTATTAATTATTAATGCGATTTGAATTTTGTGTCATTTTATAGGTATACGTTTCCTTTATGATTTTAAAGTTTTTATTTTTGTAATTCGTAGTTTGATTCCTGAAATAAATTTGTTCAGCTTACATGGGAAAATGAATAATAAACGTTACAGAATATTTGAACTATTTTGGAAAGCTGAGAGAGGTAAATATTAATATTATGAATATCATTTTCACTGAAGAAGAAACTGAAGTTCATTTATAATGATCAGTGAATTTAGCAGATCTAATTAATAGTGGTTATTTTAATATCTGTTCATTTACATACATTCAATTAAATATACAAATTTAGTACATTACTAATGATGTATATACAGGGTGTTTCGTGAGGATTTACCCATTGCAATTTCTCCTGAAATAATGGAAATATCGTTAGTTGTGGTTTTTTAATAAGACCTACAAGGACAAGAACTATAAATATTAATTTATAAATAAATAAAAAATAAATAATATTTTTTAAATTTATTTTAATATTTTGGTAAATAGGTTAAAAAATATTTTTCTAATTTGATTATTTTCAAAAAAATTGAATTGAACTATTTTGACGAGTTTATTCTTCTGAAAATATTAATGTTTTAACAATTTATTTTCATTCGTCTCTTGATTTTTAATACTTTTTCTAATTTTGAATTATTTAACACCATTGATCAATAGACTAGGATCAAACATATAACTTGTGCTCAGACGGCCGGCAAACGTCTTCAGTGAGGCCCACAATTTTTCTCGAAACTAGAAAAAATATTAAAAATCAGGAGATGAATGAAAATAAAATGTTGGAACGTCAATATTTTCAGAATAGTTATCTTCAATTTTTTTGAAAATAAATAAAAAAATATATTTTTTAACCTTTTTACCAAAATATTAAAATAAATAAAAACATGAAATATTTTTAGTTATTGTCCTTGTGAGTTTTATTAAAGAACCACAACTTATGATATCTCCATTATTTCAGGAGATATCGCAATGGGTAAATCTTTAAGGGACACACCGTATTTATTGTTAATGATTTGTTTACACTGATCACAGAAATAAAACAAAAGCTTTGTTTCTCATTGACAAATATTTAATAGTGTTAGACAAAACTTTTGTTTTTATTGTTGAAATCTCTTAAAATGAAATGGTTAATCTAATGATTGTTTCATCTGTTATTTATATTAACTACTTGTTTTAATTAAATTGTTAATATATTCAAACTAATTACTAACAAAATGCATATATTTCAGGTATTTTGATATGTACCGATGTAATGGCCCGTGGTGTTGACATACCAGAAGTAAATTGGGTGATTCAATATGATCCTCCTAATAATGCATCTTCTTTTGTACATCGAGCTGGTCGAACAGCTCGTGTAGGTAAAAGTGGATCTTCATTAGTTATGTTGATGCCAAATGAAGATGCTTACATACATTTTATTTATTCAAATCAAAAGGTAAATATATAAAAGGAACTAATTTTATAGAATATATGTTACAATATCATGTGTATAAACTATAAATGTTCTTAGGTAATATTGGAATTGATGCCTGAATTAGAAGTTGAAAATTTGGATCTTGTAGTAGAAAAAGTTAGAAAGCGTCAACTCAAAGATAGAACAATATTTGATAAAGCTAATAAAGCATTTGTATCTTACATTCAAGCTTATTCAAAACACGAATGTCATTTACTATTACGTATAAAAGGTAATTTATCTTTGTGACTGATGCTTTATTACTTATTAGAAATAATACGATGACCAAAACTACTATTTATACTTATTAATTATTACTTACTATTGGCTATGATGAATTATATCTAATGTGATACTATAATATTACACAATGGTGTTATATTATCAACCATGAAGTACGGATATACGTTGAGATATGAATGTTGATTTGACTGGTAGCCTAATGTTTTGTGTATGTTTAACGTAATTTTTATATTTTATCTAAATGTTGGTAAATTTTTTATAGCTGACTTATATTATATTTTATTAGCCATTTCATGTAAAATATATATTTCTGATTTTAGTCATTGTTTTATTTTGAATTAAGCATAAAATAAGTTGATAATTATTGTATA